CTGGATACCTTCTCTGTGCCAGGCTCTGCTATCTCTTTATGTTCATCATCTCAGTTGCTCTTCACCTCAACTCTGTGAAGTAGGTGTTATGGACAGCATTTGTGAGAATGAGATGAGGATATTGAGGCTCAGAGAGGTTAAGTGACTGGACTAAGGTCAAGTAATTGGTATGTAGTAGAGCCAGGATTAAGCCCTACATCTGTCTGAGTCCAAAGCTAGTTGTATGAGTTTCCTATTGCTGCTGTAACAAATTTCTACAAACTTAGTGGCTTCAAGTAACACAAATTCATTATCGTACAGTTCTGGAGGTCAGGAGTCTGAAATGGGTCTCACTGGACTAAACTCAAGGTGCCAGCAGAACTACATTCCTTCTGGAGGCTCTAGGGGAGAATCTGTTTCCTTTTCCAGTAAGTAAGCCTTCCAGAAAAAGCCTTTTCCAGCTTCTGGACACTGCCCACCTTCCTTGTCTTTCGTCCCCTTCCTCCATCTTCAAAACCAGCAATGGCCGGTCAAGTTTTTCTCATGTCCATCTCTCTGCCCTTGCTTCTGTTGTCACATCTCCTTCTCGACCTCTGCCTCTCCTACCTCCCTCTTTTACTTTATAAGGGTCCTTGTGATTACACTGGGCCCACCGGGAAAGTGCAGGCGACTCTCCCCATCTCAAGGTCAGATGATTAGCAACCTTAATTCCATCTGCAAATCTTATTTCTGAACTTGCCGTTTAAGGTAACATATTCACAGGTTCTGGGTCTTTAGGACGTGGACATCTTTTGGAGGGCCATAATTCTGCCTACCACACTTGTGTTCTTTCCATGACCCTTACCACCTTGCCTCTTGTTTTAGTGGTTACATAATCTGATGCAGAGCCGACATTATTCTCCCCGCCACCTGCACGCCACACGTCCTCACGTTCTCCACTCTGGGGTAAGATGCCTTTTTTCCTTCAGTCACTCTCCTAGTCTGCCAGAGAGCCCTGTGGGAGAACGGTTTCTAATCCCTAGGGCTTTTAATTCTGGACATATATTTTACCTTTGCTCTTACTAAGGTGTTTTTAAAATAGTTTCCAGGATTTTTGTGGATTGCTGGCTTTTTCAAAGCTCCTGTTCATTTTTTCCTTTCCCCAGTGCTTGTATGGGGCCAGAGCCCCCCTTTCCTACGTGGTAGGTCTCACTGTACTGTGGTTTACCAGCCAGGATCATGCATTATTTTTTTGCTCTTCTCACAGAGTTTTACATCGCTGTATTCTAGAAAGTCCCTGGACTTAACTAAAATGTCCTTTTCCCATGCCTGCTGTGGAGGTATCTGTCTGTCTGTGTTTAATATTGCTCTCTGACTGGCTTTTCAAAATCAGACTCTCAAGTACTAATTCCCCATCTTCTCTTGTTTCCTCCATGCTGAGATCCCTGATTCCGGTCATGAGAAACCTCCTCCACTGAGACCAACCAATGGCCAGAAGTTGCCCCTCCCCCCAGGACGTCTTCGTAACAGCCAGACGTACCTCTTTGCTGCCTCTGAGCTCTGACTACAACCTTCTTGTTTCCCCCTTCCATCTTTATGAAAAGCTCTTTGCCCTTCACTTCTGCCTACCAGCTTCACACCCACACTTTTGGGCCCAGTCTGAAGTCTACCACCTTGAGGAAAACTTTCCAGATCATACCAGCCCAAGGGACTCACGTCCTTCTCTGTGCGCCTCCAGAACTTATTGTCAGTAACACTTATTTTGATACTTTATCCTCTCTCATTATGGAGAGGTCACAAACTGGTGGCTAGTGGGCCGACTAATGCCCAAAGATATGTTTTGTTTGGTCTGTACCTGGTTTCTTTCTTTTTAAAATTATTTGCTAACATGTAAAAATTAGCAATCTTTTCCTACAATCTGGATTTCTGGCTTCTTTGAAAAGAGAAAGTCTACTAGTATTGGCTCTGCCTTCCCACATGATGGTAGCTAGCTGAATTGGGGTGGCAGCTTCCCCTTTAGATGGAGCATATGCTCTCCAGCTTGCCACAGTCCCCACCACTCCCTATTTTTGTATTACTCCGGCCTCCTTCACTCATTTATAGTACTTGCCTGGCTCCAAAAGGCATTCTGCAATTCTGGAATATTCCATGTGTGCCTGAATGTCCACCTATATTACAGTCTCTTGGAGGAAAGGAACTTTATTTTGAATGTATTTTGTTTCTTCCATGCTGCTCTGTACGCAGTAGATGCTCCATAAATATTAAGAGAATAATTTCCTGAAAGAGTGGTCATCCTCTAGATGATTCTGGAATGTGTAAAAATTTACTTTTACTACAAGGTGAACCTTTATAAATGTAACATTTGTTGAGAAAGTACCATGTACCTGACTCAGCGTTACATGGCTCGGAACAACAGAGGAGGAAACTGAGGCCCAGAGAACCTGTACAGTAGGGCTGGGGCTGTGGATCTGGTAGTTTCTGGGGTAAGGGCCAGCACCTTTGTTCAATGAGGAAGCTTTCCTGAGCATCAGTGCTGGAAGCAGACAGGAGCTGCCCCTCGGGCTCCCTGGTAATGTTTGTCCACAAACTCTTAGAGTTACTTTGTTTGGATAGAGATTAAGCATGTATTAAATGCCCTTTCTGTGCTGGGCATTTATTAAATAGCTCTGCACTTATTCACCGACTATCAGGAATTCTGAGCATCCTGAGCAGCCTACTGAGAAGATGAGGGAAATATAGATAGATTGAAGCTAATTGTTGATGGGATTTGGAGCCCATTTGGTGAGTCACGTTCACTTGAAAGAAGCATCTGCTGGTTCCCTTGCCCATATGCACACGGAGATTGTGCCATTCTCGCAGGCCGGCACTGGTGGTGCTGACGTGTGGTGCGGATGGGAAAACATGGAGAAATTATGCGTGTTTAATTGCGCAGCAGCAAGCAGAAAGGAATGTGAGAATACTGAAGACTCCTACTGGGGCAGAAATCTGGTGTCATGTGTTGCTGAACAGCTGCGGGAAAATTTGTGTGGACTTTTGGATGCGGAGGTGGATTTGCCAGACTGGTTCTGAGTAACTTTGAGGGCAAGGAGGTTGTACAGGAAGCAAATATAGTGCATCTAGAAGCTTGATTCTGGCATCTTTGTCTCCCTTCTTTGACACCCTGTCTCTCCAGCCACCACCAGTTCCAGCCATGGCTAGGAGGGGAGGGAGGGGGGAAGGCTTCAGCCCCAGGACCACTAGGTTCCTCCAGGCCTGATGTGTTCACAGGCCCTGCTTAGGGCCACCTGGGTGGGCTGAACCTCTGGGAAGGAGGAAGTTCCTGGGCCAGTCCTAAAGGAGGCAAGATAGGGCGGCAGGGGGTGGGCAGGGGGGCGTTGGAGATACAGGGCAGAGACTCAGCTAAGGGCACATGTAGGGGCTTTTATCTTTTAGACTCTATAGGAAGCATGGAATCCGTAGCCTTGGAATCACCTAGAAATGGGTTCAAGCCCCTCCTCTATTCCTACAAGTATGGCCTTAAGCGAGTCGCTTAATCTCTCCAAGCCCAAGTCTAGTTCTCTCTCTGTGTGAGGAGTCATGCGGCAGTATTTGTCTGGGGCCTGGCCCATATTTCAAGAGATGGGGGCTGGGAGCTCTGTAATGATGTGACTGAGCAATAAACTACCACATCAGCCACTATTTCTTGTAGGCATACTTTGGGCTAGACACTGTGCTAAGCCATTTAAAGTCATTATCTCTTTAATCCTTAAAAGAAGATAAAGAAATTGAGTTACCGAGGGGGAGAGTGATTCATGGAAGGTCATCCAGCTAGCCAAATGACAGAACCAGCACATGCTCTATGCAGAGCACTTCCAGAGCCAACACTTCTAACCAGACCACCTCCCAAGCATTAGCCCCACTTCACACATGAGGAAACTTGAAGTTTAGGAGGCACTTGCATCAGCGATAGAGCTTGGGGCTTTAGACTTCTGACTCTGCTATTTAACGTCCTGTGTGACCTTGGGCAAGTTACTCAACCCCGTGAGCTTTGGCTTCCTGATTTAGAAAATGTCCAAAGCCTCTGGCAGCCTATACAGTGAGAAGTAGTATCCTGTGGGAGAAGCGGAGGGGAGGAGCTCAGACTCTCCTGGAGACAGAGAATGAGAAGACATGGGTGTGACTGTGCTTTATGAAGTGGCTGCAGGTCTGGAATGGAAACTTGCCTGAGTGAACGTGCCTGGCTCGCACTACCCATCTAGCAGCTGGCCTGAGAGAGCCCAGATGACCCAGGTAGGCAGGAGTATGGCCAGGCTCAGTCAGCACACCCACACAGTGAGCTGCTATTGCCACCTAGGGGACAGGCGGTGACCAGGAGCCCAGGCTGCGGCTGTGGCTGTGGCCGCGGCTAAGCAGTCCTGCACATTCCCCGTCTCCTGCTGGTTTCCGGAGTGGGAAAGGGCAGCCAAGGCTTGCTCCAGGAGTGGGGAGGAGAGTGAGGAAAAGGAGCCGAGTGCTGCCTCTGGTTTGGGAGTTATAAATGAATCCATCTGGAAGTGTTTGGGGCTGTGGGAGCCTGAGGCCGGCCCCTGCAATTCAGGCCATGTGGCACAGATTTCCATTCACACCAGACCCCCACCCCAATCCCAGGAGACTGTCTGACTGGGGCTGTCTGTTCCACCCCGAGCTGGGCAGGAACCTCTCAGGCCCCTACTCTGCTTCCAGCCCCTGCCCCGACCCTCGTCTCCTCCCAGCCTGACTCCAGCAAGATCATGTCTGAGAAAGTGCTGTGAAGTTTCATGTGCAATTCAAGTGGTGATTGAATGAATGAATGAACTGTCCACTCAGCATTTAACTAGTAGTACGTTTACCTTGCTAGGAAGGGGCCCTGTGGTAGTCATGGAAGGTGAGGCATTCTTGACTTTTAGCCTCCGTCTCGAGATCATCTTTACCCTACCCAGCTAGAGTTGGCTAAGGTCCAAAGGCACTGCCCAAGTCCTGTTCATCTTTCTGGCCCCAGCACCAAGGGTAGTGCTCAGTAGGTGTTGGTTACATGAAGGCATGAGTCAATTTATTAATTTAACGAACATTTATTGCACACCCTTGTGTGCTGTGCACTCTGCTACATGCTGGGAACAAAGGAGAGAACAAAACAGACGGAGTCCCTGCCCTCAGCGAGCTTGTGGTCACAGTGGTTCTCAGTGAGAGCACTCTTGGCGCTCAGGGTGAGATCATCCTTTGCTGTGTGGGAAGCACCAGAGCATTGCAGGATGGTTATCCTGATTCCTGACCCTAAGTGCCACTAGTACCCTGGAGTCATTGTGACAACCAGAAAGGCCTCTACACATTTCCAAATTCTTCCAGGGCCCGGGAGAGCCCACCCCTGGCCGAGGGCCACCGCTGAGGAACTTGACAGTGAGTGGGTGAAGGAAGGCCATCCCCAAGGTGTGAATGTGTTGAGTCCTCTAAGTCCACGTATAAATTGGTGGTTTAGAACTGGGAAATCATGTCTGCCCTAGAAAGGTGTAAAATGATCCTTCAGTCCCTGAGTTAGGCCCCTGGCTAATGGTGAGCTGAGGTACACGGTTCTCCTGAGCTGGTTTAAGGCTGAAGCGCAGGCACCACAATGACAGTTTTGAATGTGCTGATGAGATGGTTACCTGGGAATGTCCAGAGAGCAGCCAGAAGCTGGTCCCAGGGGCAGATGAGAGGTCAGATCTCAAGATATGGATTTGGGATAAATCCACATTGAGGTGGGAGTTGAGGCCCAGGATCCGTTAAGATCGTCAAGGGAGAAGGCACCGGGGAAAGGTGAAGAGTGAATCCAGGATAAAGGCCAGAGCTGGAGAAGTAGGCCCCAGAGGTATCTCTTCTCTGCCACTTAATTTCCATTCCCACGGTCAACACTCAAGTTCCGGGCCTCAGCTTGTGCCAGGACCATTGCAGCAGCCTCCTAACTCGTCTCTGTTCTTCTTCTGGTCTCTCTGCCTTCCAGAATTATCTTCTTAAAACACAGCTTTCATCATGTCCCTTCCCAACATTCACCAGATCCAGCCTCCTCAGCCTTGCACTGTAACCCCCTGCAATCCAGCTTCCCGTCAGCCTGGCATGCCCTTGGCGAGCTGGCTCCAGATTCTCCTTCCAAGACTCATTGCTGCTTATCTCCTAGACCTTACCATCTGGCTGCACAGAACCCCAAACACACACTGCCCTTCTCTCCTCCATGCCACCTCCTCCCCTGAGATGCCTGTTGACCCTCTCTCTGTTTGGAAAAATATACTCAGGCTTCAAGGCCAAGTTCAAGTCTCCTCTTTTTTGTAAAGCTTTCCCTGACCCCTCAGAGGCAACCAGACACTTTCCCACCTCTGCAACCCCCTCTCCAGCTCTTCATATACACCATGGGGCTGTCTGTCTCTCCCACTAGACTAGGAGTTCTCTGAGGGCGGTAGCCATGTCTCGTTTTGCCTTGTAATCCAAACCTGTGAATGAACAGAAAGTGGGCTTGGGGATGGGCTGGTACAACAGGGCAAAGGGGAAGTGGAATTGTTTACCCCAAGCCTGACCATGGGTCCACCTGAGCCACCTTTAACTGCTCTCTCCCCTTAAGCACTATCTTCAGATGAGGATTCGAGCAAGAGCTTGGGAAGATAAGGAAAAAGATGGAGAAACAAGGCAAGGGACAGGCAGAGGGAGCAGTATGGAGCAGAGGGGAGAGGCTGAGAGGATGAGAGGAGAGCAGGGAGCAAAGGTCTGCGTCAGCAGCTTACATACATAAGGGATTCAAATAACCTGGAGTGGAATAAGATTTGGGATTCTGGAAATGAAAGCAGCTGCTTAGGCAGGTCAGCTGAATGTACGATTAATTAATAGGCATTAGTGCCCTTCAATGCCAAGCTGTGCATGGTACCATGTCCTGCTGGGATCAAATGCCAGCTACCCAGGATGCCCATTCAGTAAAGAGCAGAAAACAGCATTGGCATGAAAGAGCTGGAAAATTCCTCAGAGAGCTCTTCGTAAAGGCACGGGGACCACTGGAACCCCATAGTTGCCCTACACGACTGGCCAGGCTCTTGCCAAAGAAAAGTGGGCATGAGAAGAAAACCAACAGGTAGTGAGCAGCTAGTACCCCAGAAGCTATGCCACATACATTTTACACACGTGAGCTCATTCGATCCTTAATGCAACCCTATGAAGTAGGTATTGTCCCTATTTTACAGATTAGGAAACTGAGGTCCTTGGAGGGTTAAGAATCTTACCCAAGGGCACACAGCTTGAAACTGTTGGATCCGAGATTCCAGTGCAGGTCGACCCCTCCTTGGTTGGCAGCAATTTGCTCCCCGGTCTTGCTGACTTTGGCTGTGGGGCTGATCTCTTTGGATTGATTTCTTTGAACATAAACAAAATACCATCAGTTTTTCCTGGCTCTGAAATGAGCCCTCAGAATCATGTGCTGTTCTCCACTTTCCAGCTGGGTGCCTTTGCTGGGGGTTCACGAATATGAAGCAACAGGCCTTATCCTGAGAGTTAACAGTGTGCACCAAAAAATGCCGGGGTGCTTTTGTTCCCAGGAGATATTTCAGGCTGGAGCTTTCAGCCCGTGGGGCCAAGCTTTCTATTTTTCCCTCCTTTCCGATGATCTGTCTATGGTTGATGGTTGCCTGCTTTCCCGGCAAATTTTAAAATCCTTATTAAAGTCATGGTACCTGAGATGTTGCCCACACTGTGTTCTGACTGCCCCTGGGACCCATCTCTCTCTGCTTAGTGGTTGATGGATGTGATCTGTCTGCTGCCAGCCTGTGAGTGATGATGAGCAGAGGACAGGAGGTATGGACAGGGCAGGTGTGGACAGTGTTTCCCAGAATTCTGATGTGACATGGTTAGGCCAGCTCATGGAGGAGCCCATGGAGATAGAGTGGCTGGAGCCAATCGGGACAAAATGGCGCCCAACACGACCCTTATAGAGTTCTGGCTGTAGAGTGGGGTTGCTTGGCTAGAAAGTCCGTGATGATAGTTTTCTGGAGTTGTTCTGGAGTCAGGTACAGTCTGGGGAAACTTTGGGGGTTGGCCTTTGGCCTAGAATTGTGTGTCCCACACAAGTAGTAGGGTATTGGGATTGTCATGCTGAAATCTTACTGAATAACAGAATTTTTAGTGATATACAATGACAAGCAGGGTAGTAAGTCTCTGGTCTTGGGTTTGGACTTTTTCTCTGGTCATTTTAGTTAACAGGATTCTTCAGCACCCCCTTTAAAACCTATTTGGAATCCGACCACTTCTCACCATCTCCATTGCTACCACTCTAATTTAAGCCACCATCCTCTCTTGCCTGTCACCAGTCTCCTAAAGTGATGCTGTTAAAACATAGTTTGAGTATGTCAGTCTTTTGTTCAGCATCCTCCAATTGCTCCCCATCTCACTCATGTTAAAAGCCAAAGTCTTTCCGGTAGCCTGCAAAGCCCTCATAGTCTGGCCTCCCTTACCTCTTGACATTATCTCCTACCAATCCCTCCGTCACCTCTGCCATTCCAGCCACACTAGTCTGATCATTCTTTAAGCTTTCCAAGCACATTTGTGCTTTGTCCTTCTTTTCCTTCTGCCTGGAATGTTTTTCCCCAGTGTATCTGTCAGGCCCCTGGGAGAGAGTGGTTATGGGAACTGGGGAAGGGTTGCTGTATGGTGAGGGCCACCTGACAGGAGCTATGCTCTGTGGTAGAGGGATGCAGCCAACCCATGATGAAAAATCTCACTTTCTTTTTCCTTCTGATTTCCTTACAGGTGCCTCCCATTGGTCAAACCTAACCCAAAGCCAGAGGACAAGGGAACCTGTTGATGCAGTCCATACAGGTCAGCCTGCCAGGGCACAAAGCTGGGTGGAGAAGGGTGGACAAGGTCTGGAGGGGCAAATGGAAAATATCCAGAACCACTGGATAGCTTTGTAGCTGGCTCCCTCGCTTCCTTCAGATCTCCACCCAAATGTTCCCTTCTCAGTGAGGCCTTCTCTGACCACCATTTCCAAAATTTCAACCCCCTGCACCCAAAACTTTATATCCTCCTTCCATGCTGTGTTTTTTATAGCACTGAATACCATCTAACATATAATTTGTTTACTTGTCTTGCCTATTGTCTGCTCGCCCACCAGAATGGGTGCTCCACGAGGGAAGAGATTTTGTTTTATTCACTGCTATTATCAGAGCCTAGAATAGTGCCTGGCACATAGTAAGTGCTCAGTAAATATATAGTGACTGAATGAAGGCACTCTCAGGGGCCTCCAAGAGTAAGTCGGCTCTCAACCAGGCACAGCTGCGTGTAGGTATCTGATCGTTAATCATACCTGCCGCTCTCAGTTTCCTCCAAAGAGGCTCAATTGCTGTCATGTTTCAGGTCAAGAGGGTGGGGAGACCTTTGCTGCCCCCAGAGTTAAAACTTGCATCACAGTTTGTTGACTTGACCCTTATGGAAACTGTTGTCGCATTGATTAGTGTGGGCTGAGCTTCCTGTGTGTTTTGTAAGCTGTCGGCAGCAGTGGGTAGATTCATAGTCATAGGGACATTGGCCCGTCCAGGTGGTGCTTCCATACCTCAGAGGTAATCAGCTAGTGAGGCTGTTTCCAGATTAGGTAGGCTCAGGAGCCACTTCCTTGAGGCTCAAGGGCAGTGGGCGTGAGCTGGGTCCCCTGGCCACATGGATGGTGAAACAGGGATAGGTCAGATCAGGACAAGCAAAAAAAAGGTTTGAATTCCTAGAACACTGCAGCTGTGTCCAGGATAATGTTTTTACTATATGAGTACCATATAAGATATTCTCATTGTGAAAAAAATCAAACAATCCAGCCACAGTGAAAATCCTCTTCCCTCCCCAGCTCTGCTCTCCAGAGGTAACCGCTGTTACCAGCGTAGAGTGCCTTCTTCCAAATCTTTTCCTGTGTATACAAAGTTTGCTTGTGGGTGGGTTTTTAAAAATAAATGGTATTTCACCATATAGACCGGTCTGTAACTTGCTTTTTTCACTGAACAATATATCTTGGAAACTTTGCCATGTTAGGACATGTGGACCTAGCTCATCCTTTTTTAATTTAGCTTTTTATTTTGAGATAATTATAGATTTACGTGTAGTTTGAAAAATAATACAGAGAGATCCCATATACCCTTCACCCAGCTTCCCTCAATGCTGACCTCTCACAAACCCTAGTACGCTATCACAAGCAGGATAGTGACATTGAGAGAGTCAAGATACAGAAAAGCTCCATCACCACAAGGATCCTTCAAGTTGCCGTTTCATAACGACACCCACTTTCCTCCCACCCCTACCCCCTCCTTAACCTCTGGCAACTAATAATCTGTTCTCCATTCTAAATTTAGGTCGTTTCAATAATGTTTTGTAAATAGAATCATACAGTATATAACATTTAGGAACTGTGTGTTTACTTCAGCCAGCATAATTGTCTGGAGATTCATCCATGCTGTTGCCTGGATCAACAGTCTGTGCCTTTTTATTGCTGAGTAGTGCGTGTTCCATGGCTTGGATGTACCACAGATAGTTTATCCATTCACCCGTTGATGACATCTGGATTGTTTTGTTTTGGCTGTTATAAATAGAGCTGCTATGAACAATCATGTAACAGGTTTTTATGTGGACCGAAGTTTTCATTTCTCTGGAATAAAAGTCCAAGTGTGCAACTGCTGGGTCATATGGTAGCAGCAAGTTTAGCTTTAAAAGTAACTTGCCAAACTGTTTTCCAGAATGGCCATACCATTTTACCTTCCCACCAGCAATGTGTGAGGGATCCAGTTTCTTGGCATCTCTACCAACATTTGATGTGGTCACTATTTTTTTTTTTATTTTAGCCATTCTGATAGGTGTGTAGTGGTATCTTATTGTGGTTTTAATTTGCATTAAAATGGCAAGTGACTGAACATCTCATGTGCTTATTTGCCATTCATGTATCCTTTTCAATGAATTGTCTGTTCATGTCATGTTTTGATTGTCAAGTGTAAGATCTAGCTTATATGCCTAGCTCTAGATTCCAAACATTTGCCTTTTTCTAAAAATTTTATAGTTTTACATTTTACATTTAAATTTGCAATGCATTTTTTCCAGCTTTATTGCGATATCATTGACATATAATGTTGTATAAGTTTAAGGTGTACAACGTGATGATTTGATGCACGTATATATTGTAAAAGATCACCACAAGAAAGTTAGCTTGTGATGCATTTTCAGTCGATTTTTGTATAAAGTATGAGACAGGTCGTATTAGTTTCCTGAGACTGCCATAACAAATTGCCATAAACTTAGTAGCTTAAAACAAGAGAAATTCATTCTTTCATGGTCCCGGAGGCCAGATGTCTGAAATCAAGATGTCAGCAGGGCCATGTTCCTTCTGGAGGCTCTAGGTAAGGATCTTTCCTTGCCTCTTCCAGCTTCTGGTGGCTGTCAGTAGTCCTGCGCTTCCTTATCTTGTGGCCACATCACTACGATATCTGCCTCCGTCTTCCCATCACCTTCTCCTCTGTGTGTATCTTCTCCTCTGTGTGTCTGTCTCATAAGGATATTTGTCATTGGATTTAGGGCCCACTTGAATAATCCAAAATAATCTCCTCATCTCAAGATCCTTGACTTAATCACATCTGCAAAGACCTATTTTCTAGATAAGGCCATGGACATATCTTTTGGGGGCTACCATTCAACCCACTACACAGGTCAAGGTTCATTTTTGCCTACGTCCAGCTGCTTCAGCACCATTTGAAAAGGCTGTCTTTCTTCCATTGAATTGCTTTTGCACCTTTGTTGAAAATCAGTTGGGCTTATTTGTGTGGGTCTATTTCTGGGTTCTCTACTCTGCTCCATTGATTTATGTGTCTATCTCTCCACCAGCACCATACAGTCTTGATTATTGTAGCTACATAATAAGTTTTGAAATTGGGTAGAGTGATTCCTCCCACTTTATTCTTCTTTTTCAAAATTGTTTTGGCTATTCTATTTCATTTGCCTTTCCATATATATTTTAGAATAACCTTGTCTATGTCTGAAATATCCTCCTAGAATTTTGATAGGAATTGCACTAAACCTGTATATGAATTTGGGAAGAATTGACATCTTTACTATTTTGAGTCTCTAATCCATGAACACGGTATATTTCTCAATTTATTTAGGTCTTCTTTGAATTCTTTCATCAGCATTTTGTAGTTTTAAGCATACAAGTCCTATACATGTCTTCTTATATTTACACTTAAGTATTTCATTTTGAGTAAATGGTATTATATTTTTAATTTGGCATCCACTTGTTCATCGCCAGTATATAGAAATACAATTTATTTGTATATGCTTATTTTATATTCTGCAACCTTGCTGAACTCATTTATTAGCTCTAGAAATTGTTTTGTACTCCTTGGGACATAGCACCATTATGTCGTCTCCAAATAGGGACAGTTTTATTTCTTCATTTTCAATTTGTGTGCCTTTAATTTCCCTTTCTTGCCTGATCGTACCGGCTAGAACTTCCAGCCTTATGTTGAATTAGAGTTGTGAGGGCAGACATCCTTGCCTTGTTCCCAGGCTGAGAAGAAAAGTATTCAGTACTTCACCATTAAGTTTAGTGTTACCTAAAAGTTTTTTGTAGATGCTCTTTTTAAAGTTGAGGAAATTCCTTTCTTCTCCTATTTCTGAGAGGGTTTTATTTAAGTCATAATGGGTGTTGGATTTTGTTAAGAGCTTTTTCTGCTCTTGATCTTGATTGATATGATCATGTGATTGTTCTTCTTTAGTCTGTTAATATGGTAGATTACATTGATTTATTTTCAGATATTGAAACTGTCTTGCATCCCTGGAATAGACCCCACTTAATAATGGTGTATAATTCTTCTTACATATTACTGAATTCTATTTGCTAATGTTGTGTTGAGGAGTTTTGCTTCTATATTCATGAGGGATATTGGTCTGTAGTTTTCTTTTTTGTGTGTGACTGTCATCTGATTTGGCGTCAAGATAAGACTAGCTTCATAAAACAAGTTGGGAAGCATTTTCTCTTTTATTTTCTGGAAGAGATTGTGTAGAATTGGTGTTAATTCTTTAAATATTTGGCATAATTCTCCAGTGAAATCATGGTACTTGGAGATTTCTTTTTTGGGAGTTTTAAAATTATGAATTCAATTTTATTAATAGTTATAGAGCTATTCAAGTCATCTGTTTCCTATTGAGTGAGTTTTGGGAGTTTGTGTTTTTCAAGGAATTGTCTAGTTTCATCAAAATTCTCAAAGTGTGTAGAGTTGTTCTTAGTGTTCCGTGATTATCCTTTTGATGTCTGAAGGGTCTGTAGTGATATTCCTTTCATTCCTGATATTAGTAACTTGTTTTCTCATTTTTTTCTTTGTAAGTCTTACTAGAGTTTGTCAATTTTACTGATCTTCTCAAAGAACCAGCTCTTTGTTTCATTGATTTTCTGTTTTCCTGTTTTCAATTTAATTGATTTCTGCTCTTATTTTATTTTCCTTTCTCCTGTTTGTTTTGGCTTTATTTTGCTCTTCTTTTTCTAGTTTCTTAAGGTAGGAATTTAGGTTATTGATTTGAGACCTTTTCTCTTTTCTATTATAAGCATTTGATACTATAAGTTTCCCTTTAAACACTGCTTTGGTTGCATCCCACAAATTTTGCTATGTTGTATTTTCATTTTCACCCAGTTCAATGTATTTTTTAAATTTCTGTTGAGATTTCATCTTTGACCCATGGATTATTTAGAAGTGTGCCATTTAGTTTTCAAGTGTTTAGATATTTTCCTGTTATCTTTCTGTTATTATTGGTTTCTAGTTTGATTCCATTGTGGTCATGGAATACATTCCATTTCATTT